AGGCCAGGACCGGTGTTTGCACGACCCTGTCACTGCGGTGTCCATTGAGGCTAGTGGACCGTCTGGCCATTGAATATTTGTATCACTTTCAATTTTTGTAATACTCGTGCTTTACATATTTACCACTTTCTCGAACAGAAACAGAACACAAATTTTGATTTATTCTCTTTTTCAGTACCAGACCAAACTTTACAACTTGTATCCTTAACCTGTTACATCCACCATTGTTTGTTGTCGGCTGGCAATAAATTTTGTTTCGCGAGAAACAAACTTTCACGCTCAGGACATTTTCATTTCCACAGACCTCCAAATCCATTAATAATTTTTCATCTGTTGAAATGTAGCCATCGTAAAGATTGAAACATAACTGTGGCTGATTTTGTTGTGAATTATACACCATTTATTCATGTAATTATTTTACGCAATTTCTACTAAAAATTCATCTCTCTGGTAAAATCTGATACTGATGGAAAATGCTGAAATGACCTCCTCTGTCACTACTGAAGTGTTTAACCTTAACACGACCTTCAGGTGAGTTTTGGTTGTCATTGTCTGACCTCTGCCGAGTTTCGTATTTGCTTTTCCGATCTGTGCGCACGTGTCGCAACAGCGGAATATATCGAGGCATTTCAACATTTTCCACAGGACCTCCATCGTCGTCATCAGAAACATACGCGTAATTATACGGTATAAAAATAAGAACGTTTCGGGTCGCGTCTTTTAATTGTCTCGTATTATCAACAACATCGACCCTGGGTTGAGAAACTGAAGTCTCTGTAGTAACAGGTGACGCTTTCCCATTACTTGGTCTCGGATTCTCAAAAGTAAGGAACGTGTTTTGATTGGTTGGCTTTGTGTTCGCGTTTCCCGCAGTTGGTCTCGTTGTAGCGAAGTGTTTTGGCCTTCGCTGAGTCTGAGGACTCGGATATCCTCTGTTGGGATCCTCTGAACTCGCTGAAAGAAAATGCGTGTTGATGCTGTAGAGTCTGTTGCTCGAAGCAGAGGCGATCTGGTCATCTTCTACGGGATCAGAAGAACGAGACGTGTAGTAACCGAGTTTACTAATTGCTGCCATGGGGAATGAGAATGTTAGTCTCGCGTAGCGTTCGGCTTGTGCCAATATGGCTGCCAGGCGTTCGGGAAACAGCTGAACTGTCACAGGCAATGAATGTGGCTCCTTGGAATTCTTTGTTGTTGCTGAAGCTGTCGATCCATTTGATGATTCTGGTGCCTCGTGAGATTTGTCTTCTGAAAGTTGTCTTTCAGTCGTCGTGCTGGCGTTATTTAAGGCTGTGGTTTCAGGAATCCAGTGTTGCCACGTCTGACCGTTACTTATTGGTGGTGGGTTGAGGTTCAGTGCAGGCATCCATTTATTCTTCTGTTCACGATAATTTCCCGAAAATGTATTTGATATTTCCCGAGGCTGAACCGTTTTCGGATTCGGTGTTGTCCAAGTTGTTTTGGGGTTTAGCACCGGTTCAGTTATTTCCGGTTTGCCGTGCGGATGTGAATCGGACATCGCACTGACGTTTGCCTCCCTTGGCCAGGAGGACAGATGAGATGTTGAGGAAGGAACCAAGACAGGTTCTTTTATTTCAGGCCTCTCAGAAGTTGTTAAAGAGCTAGAATTGTTATGTTTCGAAGGTTCACTTTTAGCAGTTTCTGCTGCTGAATTGTTCAATTGGAACAAAACTTCCGTAACATGGGTATTGAATGCCCTAGAATTTTCTCTTTTATTGTGTGTTCCATCTAAACTGTTAGCGTTGCTGCTCTCTAGGTAATCCACTGGTTGCCAAGGGAGGCTTCCCAGTGCGTGTGGCGTCACTGGGGCCGATGCATCCACATCAGTCAATCCATCGTGTTTGTCGTTTGTGCTCTGAGGACCTTTGCTCGCAGAGACCTTGTCAATAAACTCATCCCCAATAAGAACAACAGGAGTTGGGGAGTATTTTGTGGAATTGTCCGTACCGTTTAATGTTGCAGTATTTAAAGACAGTTTACTTGGATTCTGTTCTTCAATTTCAGATTCTCCTTCCTGGAAAAGTAATGAAAGTTTGACAAATGTAAAGTGAAAGAAATGGATTTTGTCAGTTCATAACAGTTTTATAAGATCAAAAACTAATGTTGACTATATATCTTTCCACAGCTTCCGGTCTCTTTGTTTATCTCCGCGTATAAACAATTGGGAAAATTATTTCTAATTTTACAATACGCAAATTTAATACGAAATGTTTTTGTTGTTTAGTAAGTGTTTAGTAAAGTAACTGAATGTATCGACCAGGTTCTTTCTGAGAATTTAAGTTATTCTGATAGTAATTAATTCTCCAAATTTCATAGAACCTCAAGTTTTATTTCTGTGTTTACGAGAAACTGTTCCGAGCGAGATGTACGTCGAGATCTGTTTCTATATCATCCATCCAAGTGGCATCTTTATTTCAGGCCTTCGGGCTGACCGTCTGATCCTCACTTTGCGTGTCTCATAGCCAAAAAAACTACACGAATCATTTTCCGAGTGTTACGAAGTCACGTAAATGTGACGCTTTACTCCTTCAGGTATGTTTTTCGAACGTATTATGTGATATGTTGAGCATTATCAGCATCTTTATGTGGTCCAGTAACTTCCGATCTCATGGCTCGTCACTGACACGTGCACCTGTTAACACAGACGTTTTACGCGAATACTTACAGCAGATGAAGGAGGTGTGGTCCAGCTGTCTTTCTCCTCAAGAATATTTTCCTTCGGCGG